TTCCGAGCCGACCTTTTAGGATTGTCGCGTGTATCTCAATGTCCCGCTGACCCGCCCGTTAGGGTCAGGCTCGGCCTGGCCTGATCCGCCTACCCGACCCATTAGGGTTCTCGCGTGTCCCTTTGCACATGCATCATACTTCAATGTCCCGCCCGCCTGCCCCGACCCGCCCGTTAGGGTCCGACCCGCCTGGACCCGACCCGCCCGTTAGGGTCCGCCCGACCCGACCCGTCTCGTTCCAACCCGACCCGTTAAGGTTCTCGCGTGCCCACACGCACATGCATCATATTTTAATGTCCCGCCCGACCCGACCCGACCCGCCCGTTAGGGTCCGCCCGCCCCGATCCGACCCGCCCATGAGAGTCCGCTCGTCCGGACCCGTCCCGTTCCGAGCCGACCCGTTAGGGTTCGCACATGCATCATACTTCAATGTTCCGCCCGCCCGCCCCGACCCGCCAGTTAGGGTCTGGCCTGACCAGACCTGACCCGCCCGTTAGGGTCCGCCGGACCCGTCCCGTCCCGACCCGATCCGTCCACTCGCACAGGCATCATACTTTCATGTCCCGCCCGACCCGACCCGACCCGCCCGTTAGGGTCCGACCCGACACGACCCGAGCCGGCCGTTAGTGTCCACCCGACCCGACCCGTCTCGCCGACCCGACCCGTTAGGGTTCTCGCGTGTCCCATCTCACGTGCATCATTGTTTGATGTCCCGCCCGCCCGAGCCGACCCGCCTGTTAGGGTCCGACACGACAGGACCCGACCCGCCCGTTAGGGTCCGCCCGACCCGACCCGACCCGCCCGTTAGGGTCCGCCCGACCTGACCCGTCCCGACCTGTTAGGGTTGTCGCGTGTCCACTCGAACATGCATCATACTTTCATGTCCCGCCCGCCCGACCCGACCCGCCCGTCAGGGTTCGACCCGCCTGGACCCGACCCGCCCGTTAGGGTCCGCCCGACGATCCGTGAGGGTTCCCGCGTGTCCCTTCGCACATGCATCACTTCAATGTCCCGCCCGCCCAACCCGACCCGCCCGTTAGGGCCCGACCCGACCCGACCCAGCCCGCACGTCAGGGTCTGCCCGACCCGGCCGGCCCGACCCGCCCGTTAGGGTCCGCCCGACCTGACCCGTCCCGTCCCGACCCGACCCGTTAGAGTTCTCGCGTGTCCACTCGCACATGCATCATACTTGAATGTCCCGCCGACCCGCTCTGACCAGCCCGTCAGGGTCCGGCCTGACCCGACTTGACCCGCCCGTTAGGATTGTCGCGCGTCCATTCGCACAGGCATCATATTTTAATGTCCCGCCCGCCCTAGGCTTACCCTTCGGCACACCCTAGGCTTACCCCCCTAGGCCGTCCGCCCGCCCGACCCGCCCCGTTAGGATCCGATTCGTCCCGACCCGACCCGCTCGTTAGGGGCCGCCGACCCGCCCCGACCCGCCCGGTAGGGTCCGACCCGTCCCGACCCGACCCGTCCGTTAGGGGCCGCTCGACCCGACCCGTGTCGTTCCGACCCGACCTGTTAGGGTTCTCGCGCGTTCTCTTGCACATGCATCATACTTTAGTGTCCCGCCGACCCGACCCCACCCGCCCATTGCGGTCGACCCGTCCCGGCCCCTTCTCTGCATTCCTTCTTCTCATCCTCGTTATCCTCTGTTTTCATTATCTTTCCTCCTCGTCTTGACCCTTTTCACTTCTCTCCGCTGTTCACCCTCTTCTCTTCTCATCCGCACTGTTTCTCCTGACTCCCCCTTTTCACCACCCCTCCCTACTCACTCCTCACTCTACATCTCCCTCCGTCATCCTCAGTTCTCATTATCAGTTTTCCTGGAGCTCACCCTCTCCCTTCTCTCTCCTGCTCCTCGTTTATCCTCATCGCTCTTCCTCCGCCCTTCTCCTCACTTCACCGGTCACTCCTCCTTTATATTTACGCCTCACTCTGCCTGTGCACTTTTCTTCCTCCTCATCCTAAGTCCTCCTTGTCACTATTCCCTCCCCTCGTGAAGCGGAGGATTGAATCACTCCTTACTGCCAATGTTGGATGTGCGTGAGGACGGTTCCTGGAAGAGGCCGATCATAGCCCAGGTTGTGACGCTTTTTGGGTTGGCATTCCTTAGGCCTACCTTGAACCTGACCCCTTAGGTCTACTCTAGGCTTACCCCTAGGCCTACTCCCTAGGCCTACCCTAGGCCTACCACCAAGCCTTGCACCTAGGCATACGGTAGGCCTATCCGAGCCTATCCCTAGGCCCATAGGCCTGCCCCTGGGCCTTCCCCTAGGCCTTCCGCTAGGCCTACCCCCTAAGCCTACCCTAGGCCTACCCCCTGGGCTTCCCCTAGGCCTACACTGGGCCTACCCCTACGCCTTGGCTAGGGCCTACCCTGGGCTACATTGGGGCCTTGGGTAGGGCCTACCCTGGGCTACCCTAGGGCTTTGGGTAGGGCCTAGGGTAGGTTACCCCCCTCGGGTTCTATACCCGCTTGGGAGGCCTCTTGGAGGCCTCTTGGTGCGTCTTGGAGACCTTTTGGGCCGTCTCAGAGGCATCTTGAGCCGTGTTGGGGCCATCTTGTAGGTCTTGAGGCGATATTTTGGCGTCTCGGGGCCCTCTTGGGCCGTCTCGAGGGCCTCTGAAGAAAGGCCCTCTTGCCCCGCGTCTTGAGGCCCTCTTGGGCTCGAACAAGTCACGGGAGAAGATGCGCCGAAGCCCAGAGGAACCGCGGCAAGCCCACGAGGATGTGGGATTTGTGTTAGTTCCAAGCCCGTGAAAGATTCCTCAGGAGTGCTCAAGGGATTAGGCAAAGGACCCGAGGACACGCCCAATCCGTGCCCAGCGGCGGCACGGTGGTGAATAACGTGTAGACATGTACATGTAGACAGATGGGCCTTCTTACTTCACCAGGTAACAGAGGAGCGTTCTAACACGCCCTCTCCGTGCAGGCATTGGGGCGGATTGCTCTATGACAGGGATGATGGGCTTGCGCGCAACAAGCAGTGTGCCGCCCCCCTCGCCCCTTTTCGAAACACGGTGTGAATTGATCGTTCGGTGCCCGCGTATGATCCACAGTTTGCCGCAAAACACTTGCACTTTTTGATGTCCTTCGATCGGGTGGGGGGGGTGTTGCCATAGTTCCGGTTTTGACCCCGGTCAGGTGGGGGAGAGGGAGTGCACATGATTAGGATCAGCGGTCGAGTTCCTTTACGGGTACGCCACAAGCTGTCTCTGTCACTCGGTCCCTGCCGCTCGCCCTCGGGCAACATCAGTAGCACCAGAGACTCACCACGAACAGAATTCGCCATCGGATGAACAGCCATCGCGAGACAAGAAAGACGCCATGCGCGCGAAGTGGCGCGTCTGAGGCGCCACGCGCACCAGGTGCGCCAGGTGATCCAGGGGCCCAGGCGTGCCAGGCGCGTCTGGTGCGCCAGCTGGGCCACGTGCGCTAATTTGGCCACTTGCTTCGGGTGCGCTAGGCGGTGCGCCTGGTTCGCGACGCGCGCAAAGTGTGCCAGGCGGCGAAAGGTGCATCACTGCACACGTGTCAACACACATGGAGCAACACGTCGGACCCGCCCAGCTTCCCTGCCAGAAGCCCATTCGAAGTTTCGGCGGGGTGGTCAGCACTGTGCTTGATACACCCGCATGGACTTCGGGTTCGTTGTGCCTGGAGAAGTGGGGTTGTTGCTCTCCCATGTCCTCCTTTCCCTTCTTCTTTCTCGGTGTTTCCCTCCCGCGATTATATGTCATCCTTTTTCCTACTTCTCACCCCCCTCCGTAGAACCTCCTTGCATCCGCAGATTCGTTGTACCGCACCATGGTCCTCGAAACCTCTTCTCCCATCTTTCTCCCACTGCTCCCATGAAGCCTCCCACACCCTCCAAACCCTGTTCCGGACAACATTCGAACATGATCAGAACAATCATATCTCGTTTCCTTCGCAACGAGGAGGAGGAGGAGGAGTAGGATGAGGAGGAGGTACGCCGTCTCAGGATGATAATGAAGGGGGGAAAGGAGGGAGATGGTGGATTGAATTGGGGAAGACCAGAGAGCAGGAGGTGGATATCATTTCAGTGGGAATGTGGTGGCTTGAGGAAAGAGAGGGTTGATATGGTGGATCAGAGGGGGGTCAGCGATGTCTTGGGATATTTCGGATCTTCCTCCTACGCTAGGTTGTTCGTGTCCACGGTCGTTGAGCAACTAATGCCAGCACCAGTAACATAAACAATCACGGTACTTGCGGTCTAAAGTGAGTCATGTTCGTAATTGTAGTGGTCGTGTTGTAAAAGTAGATTGTAAGCACGTAGGCATGGATAGTCGTTGGAGGCTGACCTCAGTCAGACCAGCCACAATTGGGGGAGCTGTGGTCCTTACCCCATGGAAGACCCATCGGGCTTAGACGTTTAGACTGCAGCAGCTAGGCGAGTTCGTAATTGCCGCTCGTGTAATACTTTGTAGCTCGTGTTTTTTCGCCGTCGTTTTCGTAGGCATCATTGTGGTAGCTTGGAGGCCTCTTGGGCTCGTCTCGGTGACCCTTGGAGGCTTCGGGGGCCGTCTGGTGGTTCTTTTAGAGAGCTGTTGCGCTATCATGAACGCTCTTGATGCGGAAAAGGTTGGGAGCCCTCTTGGACCGTCTGGGGGGTCTCCTCGGGCCCTCTTGGCCCGTCTTGGGGCCTGGGGGCCTTAGTGAAAAATCCTGCGACACGCCCCTCAGATGTCCGAGACGACACGCGGCGCACCGTAGGATATATGTCAATTGTGGGTCGGGGCCTACAATGCTCGATGTTCAGGGCTCCAGATTGGCAGGATCTGAGGGCACTCCAACTCGTGCCTCGAGTCACGGTGGCAGCAGGGGCAGCAGACCGGGCCGTTATTTTTTGGCCTTTTCGAACATCCGAACAAGTATTTTTGAAATGCCACTGTGTAGAATGGCATGCTGCGCGCGATGATTGAATTGTTGCGCATTTCATGTTGCACGGGTTCCGTGGCGGAACGAAGGGGAGGGCCGGCGAAAGTACGCCCTGAAGAGGATACGGAAAAAGAACGCGACGTGGGCCAAGTTGCAGCAGCTCACGGAGGAGGTCGAGATCTACTTAGCCCTGGAGGGTGCAGGGCATGGCCGTGCGTGACATTGGGTTGCGCCAATCATGCTCTGGCGCCATTGCTGTCCTGGCACCCTTCCCCTTCTCCCCTTCCCTATTTCCATCCTTCGCTACTCACCGAACCACCCCAACCCAACCCGAAGGTTCCACATCCTTCCCAACTTCGGGATGGGGGTTGTACAGGTTACACTGTGGTTTCTGCATGTTCCCGAATGCCCCCCCCCCCCCACTCGAAATGGACAGGCCCAACGGCCACTTCGGGTTGGGTTGGGGTGGTTTGGTGTGTAATCAATATTCCACTGCGTTCCTCCTCGTTTTACTCCGCTCTCTTAATCCTCTTCTTCCTCCTCCTCCTCCTCCTCCTCCTCCTCCTCCTCCTAGCCGTTTCGGCACGAGCTCTTTAAGGAGCCCGTGCTTGTGTTCACGTACTTCGAAGCGGCTCGTGAACACGGGCCAATTCACAAGCGCACGGCGCCTCCCGCTGCAGAGTCCAGCAGCGGCGGATGGTGCCAAACCCGCCCGATGTCTTGCCTGGAGCCAAGACTCCCCTGTGGAGTTGCAGCTGCGGGTGCCCGGACAATTGGGCGTCCAGGATCATGTGCAGAAGGTGCGGCAAGGATGCCCCAGCGAGAGTCGTCCAGGCAGCTCGCAAGGCATCGGCCGCCCTCAAGTCAGGTGCTGTTCGTGGGCCTCGAGGTGCCTGGGCTCAAGGTCCGCCGCCGATCGGACCCAGCGACAAGGAACATATGCGCCTTATTCAGGAGCTCAGGGCCGAGATCGCACAGCTGGCGGGCAAGCCGCCCCCAGCTCGGCCGCCATGGCACACCAGCGCCCCTTCGCAGCAGCAGGGCACGTCTGGCGGACTGTCCGCCAAGCTCTCGTTCGCGGAGGTGCTGCAGTTCCTCAAGGATGAGGGTGTGGACACGGCGAAGGCTGTCAAGCAGCCCACGTCCAGGGCCGCGCACTGGAAGGTTGAGAACCTCCGCACCAAGCTCTCCAAGGCGGAGGTGCGTGCTGCGGGGTTGCGCAAGCAACAGGAGGAGCTTCAGGCTGAGATCGCTGAGCTGGACAAGAGTGTCGACAAGCTCAAAGAAGACCTCGGCCAGGCTGAGCAGGCGCTGTTCCGTGCCCAAGCTGATGGAGATCCGTTCAGAGCAGCCACGGCCACCCTGGACGAAGCCGTCGCCCAGTCTGATGAGGGACAAGCTGCATTGGCCACCCTTCAGCGCCTGCAGGCCGAGGCTCAGGCCAAGAGGGCTGCGGCCAGCGAACCTGCTGCTGCAGGTGCTCCTCCTGGGGTTGCTGCAGGCGGGGCGGGCAGCGGCGAGCACATTGCAGCCACTGCAGGCGACGGTGATGACATCGACATGGACTTGCTGGATGGAGAAGACTTCGACGAGCGCAGGACAGCTTTCGACAAGGCAGCTCAGGAGCTCAAGGAGGCCAGAGGAGGAAGTCAGGAGCAGCTGGATGCAGCCAAGCGCAAGTACCTCGTGGCCGCGGAGGCCATTGGGGTCAAGCGGGCTCGGTCGTGCTCCTGGGCCCAATGCTGGCGTGGAGGGTCCTCCTGCAGGCAGCGGCGTCGAAGAGCAGTCCAGCTTGGATGCCTTCATGAGGCGCAACATAATTGACCACGACTGGGAGCAGGCCACGGGCTTCGCTGTGCCAGTCTTGCGCGACGACCTCCAGTTCGACTCGATGCAGTTTCGCCAGCGTGACGGGACTTTGATGGAGTTGGACGAGAAGGATTGGCCTGTGCTCGGTTCCGCCTTGGCGAGGAGCACGTCGTCGCCTCGCCCGGGCAAGGGAGGGAGGGATTCATCCCCTCGAAGTCACACTCCCTTGCCCACATCACCGATGGCTTCCAGTTCGGGCACGGTGACTTCGGCATCCTCGATGATCCCCCAACTGGCCCGCTCCTCGGGTCTGGGGGCAAGTGCAGCGCAGAGGCATATTCCCCAACTGGCCCGCTCCTCGGGGTTGGGGACATGTACGGCACAGAGGCTACCGCCCCAACTGGCCCGCTCCTCGGGGTTGGGGACATATCCTAGCTGCGAGGCCAGGTCGTCTTCATGGGTGGCACGCGCGTCGACGCTGACGGCTACTGCGCCTACTTTGGGTTCCTCGCCCCCCGAGGGTACGCACTGCTCAGCTCTGGCAGCTGGCCATCGGGGCGCCAACGGGCACCGACCTTCGGCTGGCGCCGTCGGCAACGCACAGCGCAGCGCCCCTAGGCCAGGCTGCAGGAGAGCCAGAGGGTACCGAGTTTCGGGGGAAGTCCTCGTCGCCTGGCGGCCTGGGAGCCGCCCACCCTCCTCCCCATGTTGAGCTGGACGCTCTATCGAAATTTTGGAAGTCAGGACCCGACGGAGGGCGGCATGCAGCTGCCCTCGCTGTGGAGAAGAATTTTGCTGCCAAGGAGGCGCGGCTGCAACCTCAGTCTGTGGTCGTCAGCAGGCTCGTCATCGCAGGCATGCATGTCAATGCCTGGAACACGTTTGAATCGCTGATGGAGTGGATAGCGGACGAGTCCAAGGCTGGCGGTGCCCAGACGCTCCCACAGGTCTGCTGCATCCAAGAGACACGTATCATGAGTGGCACCAAGCAGGTCTCCGCGATGAGTTGGGGGCGTAGGCGTGGATATCACTTTTCTTTTGGCATGGCTCATGGTACTGGGCCGTCGCAGCAGCAGAGCAGCTCTGGCGTGGCAGTTGGGGTTTGCACATTGTTAGGCTCGACGCCACCAGTGACCGCGATGTTCGAGGATTGCTCTAGCAGGGTGGTGGCCAGGATCGCCAACGTGGGGTTCCCAAAGGGCCTAGTCGTCACCAGTGTGTACCTTGTGACGGGCAAGGAGCCCTCAGGACCCAATCTGGACCTCCTGCAGACGGTCGGGGCCTACATTATGGCCCAAGAGAGGCCCTGGGTGCTCCAAGGGGACTTCAATTTCGAGCCTGAGGCGCTCCTGGGCCCTGGGTGGCTACAGAAGGTTCGAGGAGTGGTGGTGGCCCCTTCAACTCCGACTTGCAGGACCTCTAACCCTCAGGAGGCCCGACTGGCACCCCAGAAGGACCCGCAGGGCACCCTGGGCGACTGGGTCATCTCGGGAGAAGCAGCTGGACCAGTCCAAGCTGCAGATGGCTGTAGGATCCTCGATTTCTTTGTGGTTGCGGAGGTGTTGGCCACGCGTGTGGAGGAGATCTCGGTCATGGACCAGGTTCCGCTCTTCCCGCGCGCGCCTGTCGTCTTAAAGCTTGAGGATCTGAGCCATGTGTCGACGATCAACCAGCAAGTGCTCTTCAAAGCCTTCCCAATGGAGCTCACAGGCCCCATGCAGGCCCCAGTGGTGTGCGATTGGTCTTGGGAAGTGGGTGCCCCAGCAGATCTTAACCTCATGGTGAAGGAGTGGTTTGGGTTCTCGGAGAGGCGCCTGATCCAGACCCACGGGGTAGACCCTCAGTGATCCAGGGCTTTTGTGGGCAGGGCTGCTGGACCGAAATCCAAAGTTGTATCCTTGGCCTCGGCTTGGGAAAAAGGACCAGAGGCGCAGATTTTCTCGGTCGACGACGGCTTGGATTTCTCACGTTGCATTGCGCAGGCGCACCTGCCAGACTCGAGTAGGCAATGCAGGCCGCAAGGGCAGGATGCTGCTTGATCAGTGGTCCAGGGACCTGAAGGCCATGGTCGCCGACATGGGCCCGTTCACTGCCGACGCCGAGCTCTCGCCCAGTTGTTTGAGCATCCTCGCTGATGTCACCACCTCGGGCGATGAGCCCGTCCACGATGCCCTGCATAAGATGGGCGAGGAGGTGGACAGAAGGTGACGGGAGGACTCAATGGCATCGCTGAAGGAGTGGATGACTTGGGCGGTGGAGAGTGTCAAAGGAGGAGGGAAGGCAGCTCATAAGTTCGCTAAGCAGAAGGCATCCAACGTCACATCTCTCCTCGACGCTGAGGGTGTCCCTCAAGTAGGTGCTGGAGCACTTTCGGCCCTTCTAGACGAATGGGTGCCTCTGTGGTGTGTAGCGGATAGGCAGGATGAGCACCCATCCCAGTGGTCTCTCCCAGCCGATGAAGCCCAATTGGAACCTATTGCCCTGGATCGGCTCCTCAAAGTTTGTCGTGAGTATGCTCCTGGAGCAGGCTTGGGGTGGGATGGTTTTCGCCCAGGATGGGTTCTGAGCCTCACGGAGGACCACCAGCTAAGGCTTTTAGATATTCTGCACAGGTTTGAGGACAGACCACAGGATCTTCTGGCCTTCTTGACCAACATGGTCTTCTTAGACAAGCCCGACGGCGGCGTGCGCCCCATCGGCCTCCTCTGCTTGGTGCTGCGCTTGTGGTCGCGGCTCCGCCAGCCATACTGTCAGGCATGGGAGAAGAAGCATGCAGAGGCCTTCTATTGGGGCACGGGACCACACAATACCTGTGAGAGAGCTGGCTGGGCCCACGATATCTTGGGAGGTTTTTGCAAGGAAGTTGGGTTTCAGAGCGGGTCTGTCTTGGTCGACCTGAGCCGCTTCTATGAGCACATAAGGCACCTTGATATCAGAGCAGCGGGGCTCCAGTATGGGCTCCCCATCAACGTCCTCAGAGGGTACTGCGCGATCTATGCTGGTTATAAAGCTCTGATATATGGAGGTGCCGTATCGTCGGCCTACTTGGCGAATGCAGCTGTGGTGGCTGGATGTTCAGGAGCGACGACACTGGCTAAGTTATTGTTGCTCCGTCCGCTTCTGCTCACGCAGCAAGGTAGGCCAAACTTATTCATCCGCAATGTTGTAGATGACGTTGCACTACAGGCGTGTGGTCGGCCAGTTCAGGTAGCTCAGGTGCTATCGAGTGCCGTCGCTCAGCTCTTCTCGTGCTTTGAGGAGCTCCGCCTGCCTGTGAACATCAAGAAAACGAAGTACTTGTGCACTCGAGAGGTTCTGGCCCATGTTGTGGGCTCCTGGTGCCTGCCTGGCGCGTCTCGAGTCGAGCATGCGCGCAACCTCGGC